TTTGCCGTCTTGTTTGCTTTTTATCGCCGAATCTCGCAAATATCATCCAGTTATTGTACTTTTACATAATCATAAATGGCTGAAGAAGATTTCAAAGAAGGTTTCATCCACTTTGGTAACAGTGCAGTGTATTTTACCTTCGATATTGTGTCCTTCGATATTCCGCCAAATTGCCGCCATTTTAATGGCTCGCCGCTTCTCTGTCTGATAAATGCAACTTCTTCGTTTCCATATATATTTAAATTACAGTATCCAAGAGTACTTCATTGTAGAATAGTCCCAATCCAAAAATAGGCAACATTTGTCCCATTAGGAAGGAAAAATCCTCCCGTAGGCCATTTAGGTTCAAAATAAAAAACAAATCATTTGAAAGTCACGCGCAATCTTCGCGAAAACTTCTCGTGGACACATGACAGGGGGGGGGTAAATATTTACACGAATATGTTCGCCACCACAGAAACATAAATAAATATATTGTATTTATTGTATTTTTATGATTTATGATAAAACTACGCAAATATTCACTGTTTTTATTATAAATCATAAAAATACAATAAATACAATATATTTAGTTATGTTTCTGTGGTGGCGAACATATTCGTGAAAATATTCAACCCCCCCCCCTGTCATGTGTCCACGAGAAGTTTTCGCGAGGATTGCGCGTGACTTTCAAATGATTTGTTTTTTTATTTTGAACCTAAATGGCCTACGGGAGGATTTTTCCTTCCTAATGGGACAAAGGTTGCCAATTTTTGGATTGGGACTATTCTACAATGAAGTACTATAGTACTATATAATAGCGATAAAAAGCAAACAAGACGGCAAAATATGGCTGAAATCGTGTTTTCGTGGGGGGTAAGTGAAATAAAATGTATTATATTTAAAGAAAACAATGACAATCCTTATGAAATCAACAATATTTATATTAAATTAAGCATAGTTTTTCACCCCATGATAATTTTTTTAGGAAATAAGAATATTTAATTTCTGCCAGGCATATTAGTTATTTTGTGCATAATCAGCAATTTACCTGGGGTGGTGCATAGTCATTTTCTGGTAAAATATTATACTTCGACAAATTTTTCCTTCCAATGACCACCCCTAAAAGCAACCCTTCTAAACACTATAAGCACTTCAGAAAGGCTATCGCTTTTCCTTTTCGGAAGTTAGAGCTATGTCGACACTGCCGTTTCAGGGCGGGGTCATTTTCAGGACTTTCGTCCCGGATTCAGGTTTTCGCACATATGCCATGTTGACCGCCATGGTCATTTTACCCTAAAACAGTTGAGATTACCTGTCCTAAATGAATCGCATACAAACTCATATACAGGTCCTAGACTATACAGAAATACGACCGAAATAGCAACATATTAAGCCTGTTTTCCACTTCAACCGTTTCGTACTGAAACGTTGCGTATTTCTTTGTGGTCTGAGTGGAACTAATGACTTCGATCACAGAATAAGGATCTGACTTCGACAAAAAAGAAAATGTTACGCTATATGTTACAACACAGTTGAAGTGGAAAACAGGCTTTAGGAGCAATAAGGTTTGGCAAAGAAACGCGAGATAAATGCGAGTTGTGCAGTTTTGATAAAAAAATTATAACTTAAATTGTCCAAATCCAGCTTTCGGTATAGATGTTTATATCAGTATTTATAATATAGCATCTGTAAATTCTGAACGCTGATTGGCTAAGAGCCGTGTTGACATAACTCAATGTCAACACGGAAAATTTCTTTCTTTATTTCTTTCTCGTGGAAATTGGGAAAACTCTAAATTGTGTGAAAACACCCCGCAGGCGTCGGGTTTCCACACAATTTCTCGTTTTCCCAATTTCCACTCGTGTTCATATAACTGTTTAGTATTTTTGCACAAGTGAATATAACAAATCCCACAGGTTGATTGGTCAAATTTGACGTATTAAGCTGTTATATTCACCTACAGATGAATATAACAAAACCGAAATTTGCAAAATGGCGGCTAGCCGTTTTGTGGAAGTTACTGAAAAAGAAATAAGCGAAATTAAAATAAATTCAGTCCCAAAAACCCCCACAAAAACTTGTGTAAAAATACTAAAACGATTATTAGCCTCAGACTTGGTGATTATCGGGGAATATTCCCCGCGGATAATCACCTCGCCTTCGGCGAATAATTGTTAAATATCAACACGGAAAATGTTTTATATTTGTTAAATTGTATACGTACGTATAAAACAGACAAACTCAACCTTTCAAAACATCGGTATTAAATACTGACAAGGCATGTTTACCTTGAACTCTTCGTATTTGTCTGCGACCTCTTGCTGCTTGACCACCTAGGACAGAAACGTCAACACATAAAAAAGATACAAGTAAAGCTTCGTCGGGAAGTTACTTGTATTTATGAGGTCGTTGAAATACCTCTCAACAATACCTCGCATCTTTCTCGTGTTATTGTTACCACACGTACGCTGGCACGTTAACACATGCTTCTTACTCATATGAAATGTGATTGATTTTAATCAAACTTACCTGGAGACAGATTGCTGGCCAGTGGCTCGTACCCTTTCATTTTGCGCAGGTTGAGTGCGGCGCCATTTTGCATGATTTCCATTTTGAGCTGATTACAGTTTGAATTCGCATTTGCATTGCTCATTGCTCTGAGAAATACGGTTGTTCATTCTGCACACAATTCGCCTTTGTTTCGGCTAATATCGCACCTGGCTAACCTAGCAACTTCTACTTATATATGCAACTATTAACAAAACTTACTCTGTGTCTGTCCTGATGAAGTGGTTTGACCCAGCGGTCTTCTCAGTTGAACAACTGTCGACTTTGGACGGCTTTCTGAAATGAACAACAAAAATACGTCTTTTTGGACTAAAGGCGGTTTTCCATTAGGCGAAATTTTTCGACCAAATCGAAATTTTCTTTTGTCTTACAAGCACTCAGATGGAACTATTCAGAAATCTTTTGAATTTGAACAATAGAAATTTCGGTTCGATCGAAAAATTTCGCCTAGTGGAAAACCGCCTTAATCCGTTTCCAAGTTCTATTCCACGACTCGTTTCACAATTTCATTCAGTTAGATATTCTCGCGCAGATTCAAAACTGGTTCAAATTCATGTTTGTTTCTTGGGTAATGACTGTCATTATTATTGCTGGTAATCATCTGTGATATGCGAAGGACCTGGAAACGTCGACGTTTCACTTGTATTTTTCAGGTAGTTGAATCCGCAGTTATCAATCCGCAGTTATCAGTCCGCAGTTATCAATCCGCAGTTATCAATCCGCAGTTATCAATCCGCAGTTATCAATCTGCAATTTTCTGGTGTGTTGGTCACAACCTACGCTGGCACAAACCGTTCAGTGATATTTACCTTGACTTGTTGTTGTCGTTATCCTTGTGTTTCCTGTGGATGTTGATGGCTCAGCTGTTGAACTTCCTTGTGAATCAATTTCTTTTGAAGAATCTAAAAAATACAAAGACTTAATTAAGGTTGAAACGAACATATTGGTCCAACGTCATCCAATGTTGTTGGATTGAACACTATGTTCGAAAATGTTGGATGATGTTGAAAGATGTTGGATCGGGTTTGAATTCGGGTTTCTCCAGCATATGACGACAAAGCCTGGTTTCCATATGGTCGTAATGGTCGTAAAAATAGAGTCACGATCTTTCTCAACGGCCAGTTTGTAATAGTTTATACATGTAAACCACACATAAAATCATGAGTATTCTCTAATACTTTTTGTTTGTGGAAACACCGCGTAAATTTATTACTGCAAAGCGTTCGATCCGTAAGCCCGGATGTTCGCCAGTGCTAAAAATATGTGTTTCTATATGTTTTATCGCCATGCAAACCTACAAAGAGTATTCTCAGTTATTCGCGTATTTTCAGTTCTAAACTGTTATATTTCGGCTGATGAGAAAAATCGTGACTCAATCGTTACGACCATATGGAAACCAGGAATAAGAAGGCGTGATCATTAACATTTAGCTACAACGCGTACATGAGTGAACACGCTCCCCCGACCAACAATGTTGAACAATGCTGGACTCGTTTCAACAGGACATTACTAAACAAGTATAGGAAGGGGGACCACCCCTAAATATTAGGATTTGGGACAATCCCATTCGATAGAAATAATTGTTGAAGGATTCTAAAGATGGAAATGTCGAGTGGAATTTTTATACATTTATTAGACCCAGCCAGGAGCGGTTGCGAGAAATGCAACTACGGACCCTCCGGCAGGAATCCAACCTACGGGCATGCGATTCACGGCTCGCCATCTGGCCTCTGTAGCTCAGTTGGTTAGAGCACTGCACCGGAATCACAGGGCAGCAGGTTCGATTCCTGCTAGAGGACGTATAGTTGCATTTTTCGCAACTGCTCCTGGTTAGGTCAGAATAAATATATAAAATTTACACTCGAAATTTCCATCTGCAGAACCTGGAAACATCCACGTGTTCTACTAAAACGAAATCATACCTTGACGTTGTTCAGTAGGTTTGATCACTGAGGTAGAAGAACTGGCTTCCTCACAATCTTTTACTTCCCTGGAAATACAAAAGGCTGGCTTGATAACAACAAATTATTGTTTGAACAAATGTTCTCAAAGTCGTGAACCCAAAACACAAAAGGAATCAATGTAATAATTTAATTAGTAGAGAAAGACGTCCAAGGAAAACGTCCAATAGGACACTTTGAAATTTTCCTACAATACTAGTACTTTCAATTATAATTTACATTAGTACTTTGAAACTAATTAAATTACAACGTTTGAAAGCCAAGTTCAAATATTCAAACTTTAAAGTCTGCGTGCATTAATAAAGCTCGCTTCAAAACGCACTCGGACTTTGAAACCCAGAAAAACTCTTGGGTAAGAACATGAATGCGCAGAATCCCTCAGTTGGCAGAGCATTGGGCTAGTATTCCAAAGGTCGTAGGTTCGATTCCCACCGTGGCCAGGCACATTTTTAACAAACATATTCACCTGAGTACATTACACCAACACAGAAAAAATCATAATTATAAAACATTGATACATTAGTGGCCAACCTCACGATCTAAACTTACGTCTTTTGTTCCAACTGTGACGTCACAACTATATCCGGAATCTTGCTGTCGACAGCAACGATCTCTGTGATCTCTACAGGATCAAATTTCTCCCCAGTTTCAGGAACATTTTGTTCCGAAATATCAACACTAGCAGAACCTAACACTCCAGGAACCATCGTAGGAGGATCCAAGAGATCATCTGTAAAACGACAACAGTTCAAATCTCTAGAAATGGTCTATGTTTCATAATCCTATGTCTGCTAAATAGCAGGGCGCTTATAAGACATGGCGGTGAAACGAACTGTTGTGCCCTGGAGTATGTGTGATGCGCAGAGGGAGAGATTTGAACATGCGAGTCGACCAATGTATGCGAGCCACTGACGCGAACACAAAGGAGTGAGGTTTTCCCGCGATTTCGCTGATGTCTGCCGAGTAATTTTGCGTAGTGTTTGTTGACATATTGCAAAAAAATGTTTAAAAAGTTCAGTGACAATATTTATACCAAAGAAATATCTAACAATGAAGTCTTATCCGTAGTTGGATTTTCTAAGTTCGTGTGACAGTACACAAGGTATTAAATAATACACAAATAGAAAGCCGCTTATAGACAAATTCACATTTTCTCTTTATATTTCCGTTTATGGTCAGGGAATCATAGGGATGATCATACCAATTAAAAGAACAAGTATTTTTCTTCCAACTACAGATATAAAAGTGACCACAAAACGCTTAGATAACGTTTGAATTCGTAAATTTTAAAAAGTCATTCGAGCGTTGGATATTTATCAACTTCAATGAAATTTTTGTGCTGCACTCAACACGCTAATGCGGAAGTTCTGGATCACACTAAAACTACTGCATAAACAAAGAATACTTGATTAACAAACCTTCTGATGTGAACTCTATAGCAGAGGCTTCATCCAGGTCTGGAACAACATTATCTAATAAAAACACGATTATTTTCAGTTGACTTCCATTACTGCTACCATTAATGGACTATCAACCAATCAGATGCGCATATCCGATTAACCAATTAGATGCATACAAGCCAGTGAGAGGTACCGGTACTCAAATCTGAACCTCTATAATTTACTAATCACTGCAGGATTTTAACGATTGTTAGCTTCTGTAGCACGTGACCAATAAGGATAATTCCTTACTGGACTGGAAGAGACACCACTTTGAACTGACAGCGTTGTCCAGTATAAATAGTGTTAGTTGAGTTTAATCTCCAAGCAAACAAATGAGAATAAGCAATTCTGTCGGCGATTTTTCTCCTCCTGGCAGATGCGATCGAATGAATGACATGCAAAAGAATTGTTTGCTTCTGAAAAGTGACTCTATAGTGCGAGTTCACTCATTTGCATCCGTGAGAAACACAAACTCGCCAACAAAATTGCTATTGTGAAGCAGGCTTAATTTCCTACCAAAACCAAGGTCAGCCTCCTCTCCATCCCCTGAGGAAGCCATGATATCGAACCTTGTATCATCAACACGAAGACCTGCCAAAAATAAACATGGCATACAGTGACAGGGGAATAATTTGATAGTCTGAAATAGAACTTTATTTCCAAGCGGGCTGTACTGTATTTTGCTGGCACGAGTTAGAATGCGACATGATCTGGACCTTAAACATCATATTTGGCTAAACATCATTCTTGTTTTTGCACAAAATATGCACTAAGCCTTGTCCTCACTACAACGCAAGCATAAGCGCAATGATAAACAAGTGGAACGCTTTGATGCTCTTATGCTTGTGTTGCTCTCATGCACTATGTCCTCACTACAACGCAAGCAGCAGCGCAATGATAAACAAGTGTTTGATGTTCTTATGCTTGTGTTGCTCTCATGCACTGTGTCCTCACTACAACGCAAGCAGCAGCGCAATGATAAACAAGTGTTTGATGTTCTTATGCTTGTGTTGTTTTCACTATGTCCTCACTACAACGCAAGCAGCAGCGCAATGATAAACAAGTGGGACACTTTGATGTTCTTATGCTTGTGTTGCTCTCATGCACTGTGTCCTCACTACAATGCAAGCAGCAGCGCAATGATAAACAAGTGGGACACTTTGATGTTCTTATTATTGTGTTGTTTTCACTTTGTCCTCACTACAACGCAAGCAGCAGCGCAATGATAAACAAGTGGAACACTTTGATGTTCTTATTCTTGTGTTGTTCTCACTATGTCCTCACTACAACGCAAGCAGCAGCGCAATGATAAACAAGTGGAACACTTTGATGTTCTTATTCTTGTGTTGTTCACTATGTCCTCACTACAACGCAAGCAGCAGCGCAATGATAAACAAGTGGGACACTTTGATGTTCTTATGCTTGTGTTGTTTTCACTTTGTCCTCACTACAACGCAAGCAGCAGCGCAATGATAAACAAGTGGAACACTTTGATGTTCTTATTATTGTGTTGTTTTCACTTTGTCCTCACTACAACGCAAGCAGCAGCGCAATGATAAACAAGTGGAACACTTTGATGTTCTTATTCTTGTGTTGTTCTCACTATGTCCTCACTACAACGCAAGCAGCAGCGCAATGATAAACAAGTGGAACACTTTGATGTTCTTATTATTGTGTTGTTTTCACTTTGTCCTCACTACAACGCAAGCAGCAGCGCAATGATAAACAAGTGGAACACTTTGATGTTCTTATTCTTGTGTTGTTCTCACTATGTCCTCACTACAACGCAAGCAGCAGCGCAATGATAAACAAGTGGAACGCTTTGATGTTCTTATTCTTGTGTTGTTCTCACTGTGTCCTCACTACAACGCAAGCAGCAGCGCAATGATAAACAAGTGGAACACTTTGATGCTCTTATTCTTGTGTTGTTTTCACTGTGTCCTCACTACAACGCAAGCAGCAGCGCAATGATAAACAAGTGGGACGCTTAGATGCTCTTATTCTTGTGTTGTTCTCACTATGTCCTCACTACAATGCAAGCAGCAGCGCAATGATAAACAAGTGGAACACTTTGATGCTCTTATTCTTGTGTTGTTCACACTATGTCCTCACTACAATGCAAGATAAAGTATAAGCAACAACATAAGCATAAGGGAAAAAAGCAACATTTTCATAATCTTATGTTTATGCTCATGTTGCGTCGTGGTGAGGACAGTCCATAAAAAATCAATACGTTTGATCCCTCTTATACTTGTGCTTGCGTCATACAGAAAAAAAAGAGTTATTGCACATCAGATTTAATGTATTTCATTCTTTCAGATCAACTTCGAGAATTAATGAGACTCAACGCATAATATACAATATGTGAATCCATGAACGTCATTATATTGCAAGGACAATCATTGCTCTCAGGAGTCAAGATATTTTAGCTACATCACTGCAAGAAACTTTACAAATCCATCTCAAAGAAATCTCACCTTCCTCTGTCATGCCCATGGCTAGACCTCCTGTCTGAGTTAAACTGCTTTCACTTGTTGAACCAAATAAAAATGATGGATGTTGAACACGAGGAGAACTAGAATTAAACAAGTGAGAATTTTATTACAATACCACTTTTAGTCTTTCAAGCCATGATCTACTAGACGACGAACGCACCAAGCACGGCTATCTCAGAAGAATCAAGAACGAAAGCCTCTTTCCGTTGGACTTCGAAGCCGCAAAATGTTTCGTTATGAGCTGAGTTGAGCTAATTTTTCAACGTCTTTATCAAAGAATTTGACAACACTTTGCCGCTGTTTGCAGACACGCAGAGAAAGTTACAACCTGGTAAATACATCATTCGACCCACCGCCTCGTGGGATACTTTTTGTTCTTACCACAGTAGCACAGGTATGTCTTACTGTCCATATAGAACTAAACAGACAACGGCAAAATATTTTCTATTTGTTCAATACAAAGTTTTTTAAACTTTTATCATGCAGTATAGTAACAGCTTCTTCCTAAAAGACATCTACAGGTAGAAAAACTGTCAGCATATCACAGGTGAATATATATATATATATAATACCTTATCATCTCACTAAAGCCATCAGATCGTTTTGGAATAAATAATGTAGGAGTACTAGGTACCATACAGTCATCAGTCTCGTCAAATCCACCGCCGCTTGTCTGAGCCTGGATAACAATGATAATTTAAAAAAATGCTTTCTTGATAAAATGATTGCTCCAGCATAATAACAATATTAGGTTACGTTTTAGTAAATTCCATCATATATTACATCTCATCAAATCAACTATCCTGCTTGCTTTACAAATTCATAATGTTAACTGGATTTCTAGTTGACTCAGCTATGTCAATTACCTACATTGAACCTATATCGTACCATATATTAAATAATTGTTACTTAGTAAAAAGTACCAGCAAGGGGTTCCAATTAAAACTTATTAAAAAAAACGCTTCAATAATTCATAAGAAAAAGGAAATCAGTGCCGTGTCAGTGGTTTTATATGCGATAGAAAACGTGTTAATTTAAATAAATATTAGCTTTGATTTTCTCGGCTTAGACAACGTTTATTTTTAAAATGACTTCGCCAATGAACTCATAGAATGGGTCGTTTTTAAGTCATTTAAAGCACTTATAGTCGTGCTTGATTAGATATAAAACACTCGTGTTGCGCACTCGTGCTGTAAATCTGATAAAGCACCCCTATACTTCGAATAGTACGTAATGTACTGCTTATCTGACACAATCATAAATTCAAATAAGCAAGGCTATACTCTCATTATTAACATCTATCCAGGCATCTACTAACCTGAGATAAGGTAAAGGGCGCCAAATGAGATTGTGATCTAATGAAGGGTGGTTGAGTCGCAGTACGGACGTTGTGTGACGTCAGAGCACTATCTTGAGAATGCTGGTCTTGAGATGATGATGTTGTGTCAGCAGTAGGATTGACAACATTCGCATTGTCTGCGCTTTCTGAAATATGTACATTGAGAACCGAGTAAATCAATCTGTAGGCTAAGTATTGTCTTGTTATTAAATCCTCAACGGTGTTATTCAAAATGACCATTAACTCATCCATATTTTTATGCTATTTTAAAGACATTTCAAAAGGACAATGACAATTGTTTTGAAAAATTCATTTCTAAGATCTGTATAAAAATGTTTCTTAATCAGAATAAAAGGTTATCTTAAAGCAAATGAGGTTTGAATACAATTGATTTATTACGATTCATAACACTCTGTTTTAAGATCACCCTGTTTTATACAAGGCCATCGCGAAGAGGCTAAAGCAGGGAGGTGGGGTGTAGTATCGCATTTGCCGACAACATTTAAGTCGCTAATTAATATTTCTTTTCCCAAAATTGTTGGCGAGCGGGGGTGGGGAGGGGTTAAAAAAATTTCCGGAAAATTACAATTTTCATAAACTTTTGCGTTAACGTACCGTAATCCTTACATTTTTCGTGTACGTTTTCGCAAATTTATCAAAATTTTGGCCTAACTATTACTTTTTAATCAGTGCCACTCAAAAACTTTTGCTGATTACGAAAACAATTTTCCGACATTGTATTTTGTCGACGAGATTTTTCAGGGGGGTGTTTTCACGGCCTGGTTTCATATTAGAATGTCTATAATTTACAGCACATGTGTATGTATATCTTACACATATTTACAGCAGAGATTGAAAGATACCTTCTTGTTCAGGAACTTCTGATTGTTCAGTTATCTCTTCATCAACGAACTCTTCTGTTGAAAAAAAAAACAAGTTACCATAACTATAATTAAAACTGAAGAAACTTTTCCACTGAGTGAAAAACAATATCACGAGAGCTATCATTGCTCATGGTTCCCATTTGTTTGGTGTACATTTCGTTTGAAGTCATTGATGGATCGTGGACTTAGCAGATAAATAATCGCCAATGGTATTTTTACAATGATACAGAAACGTTTACCTACCTTTCATATCAATATCATCATCGACATCAACATCATCATCTTCATCATCATCATCAATAACTTCGACAACATCATCATCATCATCATCATCATCGATATCATCTGTTTCAATCTGTCCTTCAATATCATCTTTAACCTCGTCTTCATCACTTTCATCATCAATACAAACAACCTGGATAACATGATGTGAATACAAGTGGAAACACAATCCGTTAGAATACCATGTTCTTATAATCCTGGGAAGAAATTATGCCTGACATACAGTTTGCTTTTGCCGTCTATATGGGCGTTTAGACGAATCAAAATGGTCGTTCAGATTTGACTGCCACTACCGTAGCTATCAAGGGACCATCAACCAATCAGATGCGTTTGATATATTCGATTAACCAATCAGATGCGTACTAAGCCAGTCAGAGGTAGTGGTAGCAGTAGTGGAAGTCAAATCTGACCTCTATAATATATAGAATTGAGACGGATGTAACGTCTGCACGAATTTGGGTAAAAACAGATAATTCGTCTCATTATTCGTCTGTGTATAAGCATGGGAAACATCTCGTAGTTCATCAAAACTATGCAAGTTCCTATGAATAGACGAAATATCTAAATAGTTTGTCTTAACGGATTAATCATCTGTTTGCCACACACTTACACACACGGATAATCAAGCAAACTACCTTGTTTGCCCAAGTTCGTCACACGTTTCATCCGTCTGTGAACTATACATAACATAATCAAATACAAAACAAGAAATTCTTGCCCTCTTGACTTCAAATCCACACCACTTCAATCATGACAAAATCTTACCCCACATTCATTCTAGTGTATGTATGTTCTGAGCAGCAATAATGAATAGCTTGTTTCAGTATTGTTGCGTGGTTAGACACACTTTCACATCACTTCAATCATGACAAAATCTTACCCCTCATTCATTCTAGTGTGTGTATGTTCTGAGCAGCAATAATGAATACCTTGTTTCAGTATTGTTGCTGTGGTTAGACACACACACTTTCACACCACTTCAATCATGACAAAATCTTACCCCTCATTCATTCTAGTGTGTGTATGTTCTGAGCAGCAATAATGAATAGCTTGTTTCAGTATTGTTGCGTGGTTAGATACACACACTTTCACACCACTTCAATCATGACAAAATCTTACCCCTCATTCATTCTAGTGTGTGTATGTTCTGAGCAGCAATAATGAATACCTTGTTTGAGTATTGTTGCTGGGGTTAGACACACTTTCACACCACTTCAATCATGACAAAATCTTACCCCACATTCATTCTAGTGTGTGTATCTGAGCAACAATAATGAATAGCTTGTTTCAGTATTGTTGCGTGGTTAGACACACACCACACCACTTCAATCACATGACAAAATCTACCCACATTCATTCTAGTGTGTGTATGTTCTGAGCAGCAATAATGAATAGCTTGTTTCAGTATTGTTGCGTGGTTAGATACACACACTTTCACACCACTTCAATCATGACAAAATCTTACCCCACATTCATTCTAGTGTGTGTATGTTCTGAGCAGCAATAATGAATACCTTGTTTCAGTATTGTTGCTGTGGTTAGACACACACACTTTCACACCACTTCAATCATGACAAAATCTTACCCCACATTCATTCTAGTGTGTGTATGTTCTGAGCAGCAATAATGAATAGCTTGTTTCAGTATTGTTGCGTGGTTAGATACACACACTTTCACACCACTTCAATCATGACAAAATCTTACCCCACATTCATTCTAGTGTGTGTATGTTCTGAGCAGCAATAATGAATAGCTTGTTTCAGTATTGTTGCGTGGTTAGACACACACACTTTCACACCACTTCAATCATGACAAAATCTTACCCCTCATTCATTCTAGTGTGTGTATGTTCTGAGCAGCAATAATGAATACCTTGTTTCAGTATTGTTGCTGTGGTTAGACACACTTTCACACCACTTCAATCATGACAAAATCTTACCCCACATTCATTCTAGTGTGTGTATGTTCTGAGCAGCAATAATGAATAGCTTGTTTCAGTATTGTTGCGTGGTTAGATACACACACTTTCACACCACTTCAATCATGACAAAATCTTACCCCACATTCATTCTAGTGTGTGTATGTTCTGAGCAGCAATAATGAATACCTTGTTTGAGTATTGTTGCTGTGGTTAGACACACTTTCACACCACTTCAATCATGACAAAATCTTACCCCACATTCATTCTAGTGTGTGTATGTTCTGAGCAACAATAATGAATAGCTTGTTTCAGTATTGTTGCGTGGTTAGACACACACACTTTCACACCACTTCAATCATGACAAAATCTTACCCCACATTCATTCTAGTGTGTGTATGTTCTGAACAGCAATGATGAATAGCTTGTTTCAGTATTGTTGCGTGGTTAGATACACACACTTTCACACCACTTCAATCATGACAAAATCTTACCCCACATTCATTCTAGTGTGTGTATGTTCTGAGCAACAATAATGAATAGCTTGTTTCAGTATTGTTGCGTGGTTAGACACACACACTTTCACACCACTTCAATCATGACAAAATCTTACCCCTCATTCATTCTAGTGTGTGTATGTTCTGAGCAGCAATAATGAATAGCTTGTTTCAGTATTGTTGCGTGGTTAGACACACTTTCACACCACTTCAATCATGACAAAATCTTACCCCACATTCATTCTAGTGTGTGTATGTTCTGAGCAGCAATAATGAATAGCTTGTTTCAGTATTGTTGCGTGGTTAGATACACACACTTTCACAACACTTCAATCATGACAAATCTTACCCCACATTCATTCTAGTGTGTGTATGTTCTGAGCAGCAATAATGAATAGCTTGTTTCAGTATTGTTGCTGTGGTTAGACACACTTTCACACCACTTCAATCATGACAAAATCTTACCCCACATTCATTCTAGTGTGTGTATGTTCTGAGCAGCAATAATGAATAGCTTGTTTCAGTATTGTTGCGTGGTTAGATACACACACTTTCACACCACTTCAATCATGACAAAATCTTACCCCTCATTCATTCTAGTGTGTGTATGTTCTGAGCAGCAATAATGAATAGCTTGTTTCAGTATTGTTGCTGTGGTTACACACACACACTTTCACACCACTTCAATCATGACAAAATCTTACCCCTCATTCATTCTAGTGTGTGTATGTTCTGAGCAGCAATAATGAATAGCTTGTTTCAGTATTGTTGCTGTGGTTAGACACACTTTCACACCACTTCAATCATGACAAAATCTTACCCCACATTCATTCTAGTGTGTGTATGTTCCGAGTAGCAATAATGAATAGCTTGTTTCAGTATTGTTGCGTGGTTAGATACACACACTTGCACAACATATTAATAATTAGTGTGCGTAAGCAAGCGACGTTTTTGTCAAAACGGACAACTGACCTCTCGTTCTTCTTCAACATCCTCCTGTTTGTCTTCATCATCTTCATCATCATCATCATCATCATCATCATCATCATCATCAATATTTTCATCATCCGCTATCACATCAAGAACATCATCTTCCTCGACCGCCTCCGTCACTTCAGAAACTTCTTCCTGCTGGAATAGAGCCACATTTATTCGTTAGAAAAAACTACAAATTTTTCTTCGGCTCCATTTGCCTGATTTACAAAACACAAGTTACTATTTCTACACTGCTGAGAAAAACAAGGAATACTATGGGCGTTTTCCATTTAATGGCCTGCCCGGTCAGACCCGAACTTTTGTCTCTGTATCAATGGAAAGATCTGGTCTATGTTTCTCAAATATCTAGCGAAAATGGACCTCATTCTAATTTTATCTAAATTTTCCGGTCAGATAGGTCGGAAGCCCAAACGTTTTGTCTTCCATTCAACTATTTGAGCGGTTTGGCCGTGTTAATGGAAAGCGCCCTATGTTTCCTCTCAGTCTAAAGGCCGATTTACACTACATAACTTTTGCCTACAATCTTGCTTGATGTACACGGTATAGGTTCAAACTCTAGATCCTTCTAGCTTTGCAGTACAGATCTGAATTTACCCTTACAAATTGTTAAACCAGTAATCAGGGCGAAGGGAGAGAGGGCGTAGAAACGGCCATACATCGAGCGGACCCATCCGTGATGCGGGCTTCGCGGGGGGTAAGACGTTCTAATTGTAAACAAATATGGCTACGCGTATATGACCCATCAGAAGGTATGTTGAAACTATTGCTTTATAAAATATTACTTGTGTAAAATTTATATGTTTTTGTTACTTTCAGCTATTATAAGAAACTTAAAGATAAGATTTAAGTAACGAAAAACTTTATTTCGGGTGTTATTTTATTTTTATACTCTGTTTAATTTGGTGGTTAAAAATGGCCGTCGAAATGTTGTAAGAGAGTGTTAGCGCGCACTGCTTCCTGATAAAAAACCAATGATTTCCAAAACCTAAATTATAGTTTGTTATTAAGTTATGATGAAAACCTTTGCGTAGACAAAATTATAGAGTGAGCAAACATGAGACAGATAGGTTTTGAACCTTTCAAAGTTCGAGGTCGAATTGACAGTTGAAATAGTACCAAACTCCAAGCTGAAATGTGCAACTTTATCATGTATATTTTTGTCAATTTTGTTCACTGGCCTTTGTTAAATTCACTTGCAATAGCTCGACATAAGTTACAACATACAAACTGAGCAGAGCCCATGAAAAAGCTATCCATATCCCTACAGTCATGCAACTTCCTTGCTATTTAGAAGTGGTTGCCCATTAATAGTTGAAGAAGAATTGCTATTGTATGCGCTTGTTTGCACTTCCTTTCCTGAAAAAGGCTACAATATTAAGGCTAAATAGCAGAGAAATATGAGCCAATAATCCATGCAATTAAAAATATCTATCAAATTAACTTCAAAAATCATGATTTGAGGAATTATATCTATTCAGGCAACCCATAATTTAGTGATAGGTCTTGGCAAGCTGAAAGGAACCTTTAAGATGGGTGTACTACAAAACTATATTGACTGAAGTTTTGGAAACATTTAACTAAATTTTGAAGGATTGACTCGCAAACTGTGATTCAGTTTCTGGATAAGTTGTGGCTCTGTTAGTGCCATTTCTTTCATTGTTTATATATCTTGCTTTTAAGCATTGCTCACTTATAAAATCTTTCAATTCCTTAGGGCCTGTTTATATGATCCCGCCTAGACGGTACAGGATGTTTTCATCCCGCCAAGACAGGATACTCGCCTAGTGTTTATGTGGACAAAATACACTGTCAGGATGAAACCATTCGGTGCTTGACGTCATATTTTTGTTGCAATAAAGGAATTTACGCATGCCCAAAAGGGAAAAATTCATCCCACCTAACCAGGATGAAGTGTTTATATGGGAATTTTTCATACCAGCTAGGCGGGATGAAGTGTTTATATGGGAATTTTTCATCTCTCTTAGGCGGGATCCCGGCATCTGTTGCTGAGATCCAGTCTAGGCGGGATAAGTGGCAGGATCATATAAACACTCTAGCAATTGTATTACGAGCGGGATCTCGGTAAGCATCCCGTCCCGCCTGAGATCATATAAACAG